GAGGGATTCCTATTGGAGGGACAGAGATAGAGACAGGGCGCCGCCCAGGCGAGTCTTCGACCCCCAGACAGGGGAGTCACATCCGCTCCCTTACGAGAGCAAGGATCGCTATATTATTACGCACAAGGCCTCAGAGTCTCCTACCTTCAGGGGTTATGGTATCACAGAATATCTGGAGAAGTGGGAGGTTCACGCCAGCCGGAGTCAGTGGTCGGAGGAAGAGATTATAGAGAACTTCCTATTTAATGTGGACCCAAGTCTTGGTAGGGAAGTTAAGGCAGCTCGACCGAAGGATGGGAAATGGACTACGTACAAGAAGAACCTCGTTGAGCTTTACAAATTGGAGGATAACAAGTATTCCATCAAGGACCTTGAAACGATGACTCAAGATGAAGATGAGAGCGTACGAGCATTTGGGATGCGTTTCCAAAAGATCTCCGACGTGCTGATGAAGAAGGGGAAGATCTCAGAGGTCAAGCGTTGTACTATCTTCATCAGACACTTGTCCAAAGGTAGGCAAAAAAGTATACTTAGAGATCTTCCGCGCGACAGGGTTGATTTCCCAGAAGTCCTAAAGCTCGCGATAAAGGCAGAGGCAGATGGTTACAAGGACTTGGCGTGGAGAGGGATGAGGAGACGTGACTTCTCTCTCTACAAGGAGTATGCCACTGATAGATGTCCTGATTTCAAGGATTATCCCTGGTCGGAGAAGGATGAGGTCGTGGCTGAGGAAGTGAAGGAGATACGGGACTTGGTGAAGGGATTAACGAGACAGGTTACAGAGATTGTGACCGCTACAGGGGCCACGGCCTACCGGGACAAACCTGGAGGACCCTATTCACTTCGCTGGGACCGTAGGAACAACGATCCTTGGAGGAGTGTCGAGGATAGAAATCCTCGGACGCTGACTGATTATCGTACGAGGGGAAGAGAGAGAGACGATGATCCATGGCGACATAGGGACGATGAGATAGACCGAGACCGTAGAGATCGCGAGCCGTTTGTGCGAGCAATGAGGCTGGATGATTACCCTCGAAGCCCTCGCTATGAGGCCGATCAGGGTAGAGGCGACTCCCGTGGCCGATGGGAGACAGAACAGGACCGAGATGGATATAGGGACGACAGATACGAGAGGTCGGGTCGAGATGGCTACAGAGGAAGTACATATGAGAGAGGAGATCGGGACTGGGAACGACAAGATGAGTCGTGCGGACGTTTTGAGCGCGGGGGAGATGCGAGAGAGAAGCGCGACGAGTCGCGGGGGTGGTACAACCGAGGGGACCGACGCGATGAGTCACAAGGACGATATGACTCGGGGGACCGCCGGAATGATTCGCGAGGGCGGTATGAGCAAGGAGGGTCTGGAGGAGACCGGCGCAACGATCCGCGCGGTCGGAATTGGAGAGGGGGATATGACGTTTCATCAGAACCCTATCCCAAGTCGCCTGACCCCAAGGCAGCCAGGAGTTCGATCTCTAGAAGCGCAGACGACAGACCATCTACTCCGAGGGACTCATGCGTCTACTGTAGAGGAGAAGATCATATCAAGAGGGATTGCCCGGACCTCAAACGGGCAATAAATGAGGGACTTGTCGTGCTTGACGACCGCAAGTACGTCAAGTGGGCAGATGATCTGGGAGATGTATCGATGTTCCCTTCGATGAAGGAGAATGTCGAAGCGAGGAGAATAAAGATGACTAAAGGAATGGAGCCGGTCAGGAGCCAGAGCATCAAGATAACCTTTGAGGGGGATATCGCGACCACACCCTTAAGGGTGGCAGCCACCAAGTCGGCAAGAGGGTCTACATCGAAGAAGACTGACACGGATTACGTGATGGCGGAGAAGGACGGGCAGCGGGTCGATGGAGAGGAGGTTATCCTTTCGCCGCGAAAGCGGGGAGTGAAGAAGTTCTTAATGAAGAGTTCGCTGGACGAGATTGACACGGTCAAGCCACTGAGGCGGGCCCTTCGGCAACCCATGCAGTGCTCTATTCTGGAGTATCTGGCGGCATCGAAGCCGGCTCGTGATGAATTACAGATGATCACGCGGAAGACTCCCATACCTCTATCAGAGGAGGGTCAGGGGCCCCCTAAGGCGGAAGCTTCTACAGTAGCAATAACGGGGGTGACTGCCAGAGCGGATCGCATGGCGACAGTCCTTCTCGATGGAATGGAAGGTGTGCCTCCAGACAAGTTTTATATACTTGGTAGCGGGGCCGTGGAGACGAGTATAAATGATGGAGCGGTACTCGATGCTGTGATTGATAACGGCAGTGAGGCTGTCATCAGAGACGAGGACCTGGCAGTACAAGTTGAACTGGGCCTCGATAGGTCATACCTATTCGAGATAGAGACGGCTAATGGGAGAAAGCAACAGATCACTGGGGTTTGTCACAAGGCAGCCACAGAGGTCCAAGGGGTATGAGTGACCCTGCTTGTCTTTGCAGTCAAGAACTGCATCTCCGACCTGCTTTTGGGTCGAACGTGGCTGAGCCACGTGCATGCGGTGACGATAGAGCGATCTGATGGGAGCCAAACATTRTCCATTAAGAAGCCAGACGGGACGCGGGTAATGATTGAGACAGTGGAGCCTCGGGACCCGAGGAACAGAGCAGCTCTCGCTGTGGGTGTGAAACCCAGTGATCAAATTAAGTCGTTACCTATCTCCGGCCGCACGGTGCGATTTCACGAGAAGAAATATGGACCACTGCTCACAGAGGAAGAAGGTCGGATCGTGGAAGTGGAAGATTTAGGGAGTCGGCTAATAGTGGACGGCAACTCGTACCCAAAGGAAAAAGATGAGGAATTTGGCGATGTGGTATCCGTGTCTTTTTTAAGGTCATGGCCCCCTATGGGGGCCTACCCAAGCGACACAAGCGAGTAGCTCAAAAAGTTAAGCCAGCGGCGGTAGGCCGCGAGCGATCTGCACTGGAAGGGATATCGGAAGAAGAGATCGCGAAAGAAATCAAAAAAAGAAAGAGAAAGGGGCCGCAGCGCCTAACGAAAGAGAGGATAGCGAGGATTGACATCGGAGATGGGAATTTGACCCCACAGGAGCGAGAACGTGTGATAGAAATTCTGAAGACATGTGATAAGGCCATAGCTTTTAGTGACGCGGAGCGCGGTAGGGTTGACCCTCGATACGCTAAGCCAGCAAGGATTTACACGATACCACATGTTCCCTGGAATGACGCGGGATAAAAATACGCCCAGAAGGAGAAGGAAGAAGTTATCGCTTTCCTGAAAGAAAAGATGGTTTCCCACGTTGCGGAGCCGTCTGATAGCGCTTATGCTAATCGATGGTTCTTCCTACGAAAGCCGAATGGCAAGATCCGATGGATCCAGGACGTTCAGAAAGTGAACGCGGCGACGATACGAGACATGGGTTCCGTGCCACACGCCGATTTACTGGCAGAAGGCGCCGCAGGTAGGTCGATCTATTCGGTCTGTGATCTATTCTCAGGTTATAATGAGGTACCGCTTGACCCTAGAGACAGGCACCTCACGGCTATGCATACGCCATTGCGACTAATACAGATGATGGTTGTTCCTATGGGTTGGACTAATGGGGTAGCCGTTTTTAAGAGAGCCATGGTAGTTGTCCTCAAGGACTTCATCCCTGATAAGGTTGAAGTTTTTCTTGATGACTTTCCTATAAAAGGGTCAGTAAACAAGGATGAGGCAGAGGTTGCACCTGGAGTTAGAAGATTCGTCGAGCAGCACCTAACGGATATTAGCGCGGTACTCGAGCAGCTGGACGATGCGAACCTAACAGTCAGCGGAACAAAGAGTCGATCGGCCGTCTCGACTATTAAGATCTTGGGCTTTATCTGTGACTCGAGGGGACGCCAAGCAGATCCGGCGAAGTTAGACAAACTCATGAACTGACCGTCACCATTACATAGTCCAACCGAGGTCCGATAGTTTCTGGGAGTGGTCGGTTACCGGCGAATATTCATAAGAGGGTATGCAGAGAAGGCTGAGCCATTGACACTACTCCTTCGAAAAACTGAGAAATTCTACTGGGATTTCTCGCAGGAACTCGCTATGCAAGAGCTTAAAGATGAATTTAAGGAGGGAGGACGCGTACTGGCGTGCAGTACTTTGATGATGAGGCTGGGAGACCCTTCATAGTAGCCACGGATACTGGGTCTTGTTCGGTAGGAGGATTGTTGTCGCAGAAGGACGCTGAAGGAAAAGAAAGACCACTAAGATTTGAGAGTAGGACACTTAATACGGCGGAGCGAAACTACAGTCAATTCAAGAAGGAAGTATTAGTTGTTCTGCGGTGTCTAGACACGTTCAGACATTATATCTATGGACGGCGGTTCATCTTGATAGTAGATCCCACCACGGTTGCCTCTGTCCTCCAGAAGGATTTTAGCCTGACAGACCCGACCATTGCACGATGGTTAATACGGATTCGGCTATATGATTACACGGTTGAGAGGATATCTGGCACTAAAAATGTCGTGGCAGATGGACTTTAGCGCATCCCTCTTGAGGCCGAGCGCCCGATAGTAGTCGGGGCCCTGGCTATGGCAGAGCCAAGACGCACCGAGCGATTTCTGGTTAACCTTTATGAGGGCAAATACCGAATAATCAGGTTACATTTGTCAGGAAAGGAGAGTCAAGAATCAGATATCCGGAGACAAGCGGCCCAGTACTGCCTTAGAGCTGGCCATCTGTTTCGGAGGCCGGGCGGCTCGGGGATGCCCTTACAAGTAGTCTGTAACCCTGAGGAGAGACAGACAATAGTTGCGGAGCTTCACGACGGGGTGGTCGGAGGACACAGGGGAGTCAAAGGAACCTACGAAAAGGTACGCAGGTTGTACTGGTGGGAAGGACAGTATAAGGACGTCGAGAGGTACTGTATAACCTGCGAAGAATGCCAAAAGAGAGTTCTTGTGAAATACAAAGAGTCACTTCATTCATCCTATCCAACCAGACCAGGAGAGAAGGTACACATCGATCTGATGAAGATGCCGAAAGGGGTCGGCAATATGAATTATGTCATGAACATACAAGATGACTTCACGGGGTTTGTGGACGGTAGGCCTATCAGGAGTAAGACGACAAAGGAAGTGAAGAACTTCGTCCTAGAGTACTTATTTAGGTATGGTTGTGTCAGCAAGATAGTGATGGACAGAGGGGCGGAATTCCTAGTTGACGAGGTTAAGAGTGTGTTCAAGAGAGCTGGGGCGAGAGTTTCGATAACTACTGCCTATCACCCGCAGTCGAACTCCCCAGTAGAGAGAGGGCACCAGACCCTGATAGCGTCGTTATCCAAGTGGTGCAGAGGTAAGGACAGTGATTGGCCATGATATTTTCGATACGCAATTTGGGCGGACAACGTCACGGTCCGGGCTAGCACGGGATACCCTCCATACACCTTATGGTTTGGGCGGCATTGTCCGCTTCCCATAGAGTTTCACGTCGACAGCTGGACAACCGTCGACTGGGCAGAGGAGATGTCCAGAGAGGAACTCATAGCTGCCCGAACAAGACAGATAGCCTACGGTTTGGAAGATAACCTCATGACAGCGGCAGATCGTCTGGCAGTGGAAAGGGACAAGGGTAAAGAGAGATGGGATAAGAACGTGCGGATCAGGAAGGAGAGGGTGAGTGTAGCAGATATGGTCCTTCTCTACGATGCAGAGCTGGAAAGAACCTGGACCGGAAAACTCGCCAATAGATGGATGGGACCTTACAGAGTGGTTGAGGCACTCGACTAGGGTGCATATATGATAGCAGAATTAGACGGATCCAAGTGGAAGGACCCAGTGGCGGGTGCTAGGTTAAAGTTGTTTAGGCCCTGGCCCGCGCCCGCCTTATCACTGACCAGCCCGAAGGGAAAGGAAAAACCATAATGGAGGATGGAGCCCCCTTGAGGCGATTCGAGGCAGGGGAGAGTTCCAAGAAAAGAAAAACAATAGAGAAGAGAAAGGTCAAAGGGTTAGCTTTAGGAAGAGAGAAGAAATGGTTATTCGTGCTCAAGCGAGCTAGACGGAGAGTTCGCGTTAGACGTACTGGCGGGTCGACACCCTTCTCGGGGCAAAGACAGAAGAAAAAGAGGATCGTTCCGGGACCAAAAACCAGAAGAAACAGGAGAATCAAGAAGCATCTTCTTAGCCCCTGGACTCGTAACAAACTGAAATATAAGACAATTGAGCGCCGACGTGGGCGTCCTTTACGGGTCATCACCCTGAAGCTCATCCGCTTCGTCTAACGTAAGTTGCTAGGGCTCGACGCGGGCGTCGAGAAGTGGTCCGAGCTAACTGTCAGGCAGCCACAAGCAGTGCGCCGCCTGAAATCTACGGTTTTGGGACTTAGGCGCGAAGACGAGTCCGTGTTTTGACGGTACTCTGGTTTGACTGGGCAGCAGAGATTAGGGGAACTCAGGGTACCCTTGATTTTGGGCGCACTGAACCTTACAGGTAACCCTCAAAGATGGCGAGATGGGTGGTCGCACTCGGCACATCGACGGACCCTCATTTCCGGCCGTTCAGAGGGTTAGACCCGGATTGGCCTGCCGCGGGGGGGGCATCGCGGGGACTAACCCCGCTACGACGTTCTTTGCAGCGTATGATCGGGGTCAAAATAGCACCTCGAATTTTTGTCATTTTTTGTATCTAAATTAAAGATGGGAGAAGAGATTGAGAACAGTAGGAGGGAAGAGAAAAAYGTAATATTCCTTAATTTCCTTSTTTTTCGCARCATTTRAGTTTTGGGGAAAATACCCCGTTATTTTATGTTTTCCGGCAATGGAATCGAAAACAAAGGAAAAGATTAAAAACGATAAAAAAGGAAAAGAAACAAAAKAATTTCGTCTGTTTTATTAAAACTCCCTMKGCRGGTATTTTTGGTGGACTTACGGATATATTACAATTTCAGACAATAGTATTAGGAAAAAGGAGGGATCCTAAAAGCAATGAAARGGACGAGAACTGAGGATTATTAAAAGTTTGGCCTGAATCTGYCTGGATTATCCACCATTAACTCTATTCSTGGATYGATCGTTTTTTCTMGGTTCAAACCTTTTTCACTATCCCCCGATGGTCGAGATTTTCCCTGTCACTTTCCTGATTTACCTGATTACTAACCTTACTGAGTTGGGGTGATCCGAGGATGTCCGAGTGGACGGCGTGGGATGRTGCTACTTTGGACCGACAGTGTGGTATTTGGCTCAGTGCCAGACATAGTTCTGGTTCGGCATGAGCTCAGCATCAGCGTACTTCAGGTTCGGATACATCACCGACATTTATTACCAGGTCCGGGACCACTACGGTCATTTATTTTATCAGGTTCGGAACCTCATTTATTTTCAGGCGAGGTATTACCTTGAGGCCGGTATGGTTCAAGTTCGGTGATGATTCGGGGAGGACACGACACTCAGGGTCGACGTCTACATTCCGCGGTATTTCGTAGGAGCTGCTACAGTGTGGAACAGGGATGGGCTATTGTGGTATTTTGCAGTGTTCGATACTTTTCAGACTCAGCAGTGGTTCGACATCAGAGAGGTACGCGCCGCTGCATTATTTGCAGCAGGTTCGACATTGATCCGGCATGGACATGGACTGTTGGCTGGAACCTACTTTCAGACCCGGGGGCCGGTACTACTACGGTGATTCTTCTATCGGCGGTGAGCGGCGTTGGTAAAGTTCGGTCTTGGTTTGGYAATGCGTTGTTCACTGGGCAKTACGGTACGGTCACAAGATCGGTATGACCACGTGGTTCGATTGCTCTGTTGGCTGGCAAGGTATGTGTGGCATCACACGRCAATCAGGCTCKGTGGCTTRGGACCAGCCTGGCCACAAGCTCGTATAAAGGATCTTGTACGGTAACGTTACACTCACTGTTTGGGGTTACAACAATKGAGCCTGTGAACTTGGTCCCTGGTGCGAAACTGGTTTCATGGTACCGATTTTCTTTCCAGGCCTCCGTAATGTTAATTTTCCTTGCTAGCGGGGGACCTGTTCGCCCAAATTGATATCGTTGGGCCTGGGATGGACCGACCACACTAGTACAGTGACTGCTCAGGACCGGGCCTGGTAGGGCTGAAGCTGAAAACGGCTGAGGGCCCAAGGGATATAGTGGGGGCAGATATGCGAAAAAAAAGGGGGGGACTCGGAGTGAGCAAGGTGTGCATGGTGTACTCGGCGCAGTTACGCTGGGGGGTGCAGTTGAAGGATAGTGCGCAAGATGATCGGGGCTAGAGGGAAGACGAAGTGGTGGGTGCTCAGCGAACGGGGAACGTGCGTCAGTTGTACGCAGTGATTTGGCTTGGTTGACTTCAGAGCTTGTCGGAGAACTGAAGAAGGAGAAAAGTCATTCAAGGGGATGGAGGGTTTTTGACCCGTCTATCAGTGATGATGCGTACGTGCCAGTCGAACATTACAAGGGGGAGTGTCAGGTGTCCACAACCCTCATTGGCGCAAGCTGAGTGTAGTTGCATCTTTTGCTGGTCAGCTAATCAAGAGTTCTTGCTGGTAGCGGGAGGGGCCAGCTCCACTGATCAGGGAATCAAGTATTCTGCTGGCCAGTCAATCAAGTATTTCTGCTGCTAGCGGGAACGGCCAGAGTCACTGATTAGGCAGCTGAGCTTTCCGCCGATCAACTATTCGAGTTTTCYCACTCCCTAASTAAGATCACYAAATTTGCAGGCAAACAGGTATGTGTAACTCTGATATGAGAGAGAGAGTGCACATAGACAGAGAGTGTGCAGAGAGAGAGTGTGCAGTCGGAGAGAGAGACGTGGAAAGCAGAAGTTGGAGTGTTTTCCCGTCRACCTACAAACGCCGCTGTKGTAAAACTCGAATATGGAACGAATCGGCGCGGTATTCGTTTCTCMRTATAAATGAKTTTTTCTAATTTTTCTGTTATTTTTYCTRRAAAKATCAYGAYCTARTYTACCAGTGGTAAAMTTTTCAGAGTATTTGGTGGAYTCCTCTGAGCACGAA